TAGTAGAAAAAATGGAACTTTATGGCAACTAAATATCTTGCTCCAAATCATCCAGTTCATGAAGCTAGGATTTTAACTCTGGTCTGCCCTCAAAGTCCAACCAAGTTCTTTTACAAATATCTGGGACAGGATGAACATGTAGAGGACTACGTGCTCACAAACGAGACGTTCCCAGTAAGTCCTGCTCTTGCAAACGAAGCAGGGCGTTCCCGATAAGTCCTGCTCTTGCAAATGAAGCAGGAGTTCCTTCCCTGCAAACAGGGAGGACAAAGGAGCCAGCTGCAAACAGCAGACCCTGGGGGCTTGTTTATGTGTAAACATCTTGAAAATCCAGAAAGTCAGGGAAAGGTCAGAAAAACAAATGTGTCTTGTGACTTGGCAACATTCCACAAATGACTGTATAAAATAAAGGAGAGTGCGCCATTCAGGGCGGCCGCCATGTTTGTCTTGTCTTGTGTTGTCTTGTGTGTTCATTCCTTTGTTTAGGAAACACGCGGACCCCAACAGAACAGAAGTAGATAGATTATATGATATGTAAAATTGTCTCAAATACACAACTGTTTTTTGTTTTTTGTTTAGATATCTAACCTAAGAGCATATTTCTAACCTGTTTCCTATTTTATTTATTTTAATGTATTCTGTTGTAAAAATGAAAATCCTCAATAAGTAAAATCCAGATCTATATGCAGGACAAATTAAGAAATCATTGTTTATTTTGTTAATGGCTCTTTGGCTTATTATAAAAGGTTTTCTTTAAATATCCCCCATTAAAGTGTATGTTTTCATTAAAAAGCCAATTAATAAATATTCTTAATTTGCTGTCTTAGATGCTATCTGTCTTATAGCAGAAAATAAATAGAAGAAACAGTTTTGAATTTTAAATAACTTAAATCAGTAATGATGGAGAAAACACATATGAATAAAAAATAAATTAGGAAGCATGTTTAAAATATATGCTGCTCTGGAGGTTGTAAAAAAAAAAAAACTAACAAATGAGGGGAAAGAAGGATGAATAAAAAAAGCACATGTGATTTTTAGGGCAGTGAAACTACTCATATGTATACATGTCACTATGTATTTGCCCAAACCATAGAATGTACACCAACAGTGAATCCTAACATAAACTGTGGGCTCTGGGTGATAATGAGGTATCAGTGTAAGTTCATCATTTGTAACAATTTTTTTTTTATGGTGGGGGATGTTGATATTGGGGAGGGACTATACATGTCTAGGGGCAGGGGCTATATGAGAAATCTCTGTACACTCAGCTCAAGTTTTCCATGAACCTAAAACTATTCTGAAAATAAAGTCTACTAAAACAAAAATAATAATAATAAAAAAACTCACAAAAAAATCTAAGAAACTCATTGCCAGAATGGGATTTGAGGGAGAAGTAGAATGCTGTTAGGTAGAAAGATAGCTGGGATGGAAGTAATCATATCTCTTGTATGTGTACCCAGATAGGCATGAGGGCAAAGCATGAGCAAGTGCCCCCTTGCCTGAGATATGGGATGTTTGTCCTCAATTATTAAAAGAGGGGGCTGGAAAGGCAGGAGGAGGCGATATCACAGAGTGCTTTGACAAATAGACTAAGTTGTTTTCGTTTAATTGAGAGAGTCATTGCTGGTTGTTGACCTAGCAAATTGATTAGGTAAGTTGCTTCGGGAGTGGTGAGACTTGATTAGAAAGAATAGACAGGAGACTCATGAGGAATTTTAAGTGAAAGGTGGCTCTGCCCAGACCTGAGAAATAATAATGGGAATGGAAGGAGGGGAGAGATAGGAAAGATGATATGGTAATAAAATGTGCAATACATAGAAACTGAGAGTTAAGGAAAAGAAGGAGCTTGGGTATCTCAGACAAATTTTGAGAGTAAAGAGCTAGAAAGAAAGACTCATGGGCAATTAGGTAAGAGATTTTCATGAAGTCAATTTTTAAGAACCCTTTTTTTTTTTTTTAAAGAAGGTATATTGCATTTCTAGAATAGGTGATGATTGTAATTCTTTTGTTACCTAAGGAATGAATCCATGCTAACTAAAGACAATATTATGTAAGCATATAAAAGCACCTGTGGTTTTGTCTGCAAAATAGAGTCAATGTTACTTTAAAAGGATATTATAGGGTTTAACCTACTGGTATTGAGATATCTAATGGCTTCAGACTATATTAAGTATTGCTAGCAAAAGGCTATAGTGTGGTAAGCATTATTACTGTAATGAAGAATGAATGGTTCTTTCTTTTCATCTCTATTGCTCTGAAGGATGAGATATTAGTTTTCCTTCAAAAAAAAAAAAAAGGCTTCTATCTTAATCACAGAAATGCAAAGATGTCTGTAGAAATGAGTATTTTTCATTAGATTGCTGGGTGCTTCCCACAAAATTGAATTTTTTATGGTAAGTGAGGAAGGGTAAATGGGTACTGACTAGGCCACTGGCATTGTTTGTTACAATTATATGCCAGGCTCTGGGATTAGCATATATTGTTTCATTTAATCTATAAAGCCCTGTATATTTGGTTCTATCATAATCTTCATTGAACAAATTAGAAAATGTAAAATAAAAGAATTTAATTGACTTGTCTCTAAATAAAATAGCTGGTAAGACTTTCTGAATGACGACAGCTGCAGTGGGAATCGTAAAGTGCAAATGGATGAATACAACATACATTTAGGTGTGAGAACTAAACAGCCTTGGTGATCGATTGGATATGGGTTTGAGTAGATTTAGGGCCAGGAGTTATTTAGGATGACTCCATGGTTTCTGGCTTGCAAATCACATATAGAGTTGTTCCATTCCCTGAGATAGGGTATATGTGAGGAATATGTGTGGGAGAGGAGATTATGAGTTTGAGCTTAGGCATGCTGTTTGAGATGAGTGTGAGATATGCCAGGAAAGAGATTTAACAGGCTGCTGATTATGAGGATTAGGAGGCTTAGAAGATAGGAATGGATTGATGATAAAGCTTTTGGGGTCATCAGTTACAAATTAATTATTAAAGGCATGGATGGGTGTATAATATTTCTCAAGGACAATGTGTAGAATAGAAGATAAAATGGCTATATGTGACACCCAGGGGAACAACAGCCTTGAAGTGGAGGGCAGAGAGAGAAACTTACAGAAGGGACTTGATAGGAGTGCCCAGAAGTGAAAAATCCTCAGGATACACACAGTTTCATTTTAGAGTTTAGTGATGCCATTTCTTTGTGAAATAGCTGTTACAAGATTGCTCCTCCTCTGCATCTCTCCTCTGTCCTTATTGTGTTGAATGGTACATTTTGCATTTCCATTGTGAGAAGAAGATACAAAACCATTTCGTTTAAACTGCCAGTGCATGTTGTATGACTGACATGGGTATTTGTATACTTGTTTCAAAAATTATAGGCAAGTTTTGGCAGAAATACTGGTGAAATCTTCAAAATGACAAACGCTTATCCTTTACAACATCCTGAGGCTGGAGACAGGGGAGATAGGGCCTATTATAGTTTTTTCTTCAACTACAACTTTTATTTCAGGAGTCATTCATAATTACAGATGATAGTAACTTTGAAAGGTCTATACACATGTATACCTCACCAAAATGTAACTCAAATAGTCTAAGTAGGAGTATTCATGTAAAACAAAAGTATCTTGGTGAACAGACATTTTTTATCATGGAAGTTTATATTGTTTACACAAAACTGCTCAAATAACATACCTGTGACTAGGAAAAAGTAACTCATGTTTCTGGAGACATTCCATGATTATACAGTTGTGTTAGCTTTGTTTTTTTCATTTTTACAAGTATACACTGTAACAACTATAAATATTTGATTAACAGGAGTGTCAACAGACTGAAAGAACCCTTATAAAAATAACACTATAGTTATGCCAAATGAATTTAGTTGAGCTATATAAACCAGGAATGAAGTTCTCTCTCAATTTTAATATTTCTCTCAATTTTAATTTTAATATTAAAATTTAAATTTTAAATTTTCTGGTTTTTCTCTCAGTTTTAATATTCTTATCTCAAAAGAATATTTCAAAAGGTACCTAGTAGTCATAGGCATGTTCAGAATTAAATTAGAAATGTTAAAGAATTTTTTTAGCCGGGCATGGTGGCATGCCTGTAATGCCAGCTACTAGGGAGGCTGAAGCAGAAGGAGAATCACTTGAACTCGGGAGGCAGAGGTTTGAGTGAGCTGAGATCGTGCCATTGCACTCCAGCCTGGGCAACAGGAGTGAAACTGTCTTTCAAAAACAAACAAACAAACAAACAAAAGAAGAATTTTTTTGGAAAAATAGTGACAATATATTTAAAGTAGTTGTTCAATAAAGTAGTAATAAAAATGCAAATTTTATGTAGATTCTAGTTTCAAATATGGAGTAGAACCTGTTCAGTTCTTAGCATCAGACCAAAATTAGTTTTCTTATTTCAAGCAAAAGAAGAATAAAGCATAAAATATTTGGAATACTGCAAAACTCCAGGGTATTCTAGATTCCATGGCAAACCTAATCTGTATTCCTTGAGATAAATTTGCAGTACTAAAATTTTTAGAGTATCCTATTTATTTCTGTTTTTTTTTTTTTTTTTTCTAATCTATGATTGGTAAATTGACCATCTAAAATAATTCAAAACATCTTCAAAGAGCCTTCCCAAAGGCTTTCTTACATATCTTCTAATCTTATACTTCTTTGTAGTTTCTGTCTATATTTTGTATTAATTATAAGGCAGGTTGCTTTTTTGCCTTTTTACTAAATAAATATGTTCTTGATTTTATTTGTATAATGCTTCATATCACATAATTTTTAGAATTTCATAATCATAATGCCTTGGTTTAAGAATATATTAATTTTACTTAGATTTAAACATATAGCCATTTAAGGAATTATTTTTTTTTAAATAAAACCATTTCTTTGTTCTTTTACTTGTTGATCTCACTATATGTCAGCAATAATTTTTCATGGGGGGGATAGGCTCGTTATTTTCTACATCTTAAAATCTGATTTTTTTATTTGTTGTAGGTTTTATTGGGATTTAATAATGCTTATAATGATGGTTGGAAATCTAGTCATCATACCAGTTGGAATCACATTCTTTACAGAGCAAACAACAACACCATGGATTATTTTCAATGTGGCATCAGATACAGTTTTCCTACTGGACCTGATCATGAATTTTAGGACTGGAACTGTCAACGAAGACAGTTCTGAAATCATCCTGGACCCCAAAGTGATCAAGATGAATTATTTAAAAAGCTGGTTTGTGGTTGACTTCATCTCATCCATCCCAGTGGATTATATCTTTCTTATTGTAGAAAAAGGAATGGATTCAGAAGTTTACAAGACAGCCAGGGCACTTCGCATTGTGAGGTTTACAAAAATTCTCAGTCTCTTGCGTTTATTACGACTTTCAAGGTTAATTAGATACATACATCAATGGGAAGAGGTAAGATGCATCTTTTTCTTTTTTAAAATCTATATCAGAAAATTGTTAATTATGACTGTTTTACAATGAACAATTACTGTGCTATGCGTAATGAGTTTTATGAAATTCAAGTAGAAAAATGTATTTGACTCCTCTTTTCCATGCATAAGTGATATATTGTATTCATAAAATACATGATCAAATAATGGATTTGAATGAACTAAAAAAATAGCGATCATTTTATGCCAATTTATTATATTTTAAAATAAATACACTTTAATCAACAATTATTATCCTGATCAATACAACCCCTCTCCCACTTTGGTTTTTTTTAAACCTAATATAAATACATCAAGTACCGTCTTTTTTTTTTTTTTTATTGAGACGGAGTCTTGCTCTGTCACCTAGGCTGGATCTCGGCTCACTGCAAGCTCTGCCGCCGCCCGGGTTCACACCATTTTCCTGCCTCAGCCTCCAGAGAAGCTGGGACTACAGGCACCCGCCACCACACCTGGCTAATTTTTTTTTTTTTTTTTTTTGTATTTTTAGTAGAGACGGGGTTTCACCGTGTTTGCCAGGATGGTCTCGATCTCCTGACCTCGTGATCCGCCCACCTCCGCCTCCCAAAGTGCTGGGATTACAGGCATGAGCCACCGCGCCCGGCCTGGTACTGTCTTTGATAAAGATGTGTAGGGTCTGATTGCTAATCTGGCACATCATTAGCTCTATGAGATAGTGTGGTTTTTGTCTCCTCTAATATTGAAGTTTCATTGAATTCATGCTGGGGTAAAAGAGATTGTTTCTTTATTTCCAAGTTATATATATAATGGCTTTGATTTTAGCGTATTAATTTTGCTCATTGTTATACCTTGCCTATAGTAACTTACTATAATTTCTCCCTATTAGTTCATTTCATAATACTAAAAAGGAGCATATTCAAGAGGGACGTTAGTACATAGAAAACACAAAGAGTATAGTGAATAAATGGAGTGAATCTGACCAATCATGGCCCATATTTTGCTGAATAGGGCATGTGTTGTTGTTAGACAGTGGGTGAGACCTGAGAGGACTCAGCCGACTGGAGTTTCCAAAGATCTGACTTAAACCATCATCAAGAAAAGGAGTTTATATCCCTGTCTTCAAAGTATGCATATTAACCATTTTGACTTCCTTTTCTTCCTAAGTCTTTTTCTATTAATTATAACCTGAATTTTATTGTCTGCATAAACATAAGAGTCCAAAAGACTTACAGAATACCTAAACCAACACTAATGAAAGTCATATGAAGTCATATACTGGCTATAGATTATTGCTTTGTCCCCTGCAGAAATACTTTTTAGCATTTTTAAGATAAATTATGCTTTTAAATATGTCATAAAATGGAAGTTCTGTTTGATTTCTGTGAGGCGGTAGCAGTGTTTTTGTATGTGCTTGACAGTGACATTTTGGTTCACAGGATTTCAGGAAATGACATGCAATAATAAAACACTGCATAACGCACTGATAAAAAGGCATAAAAATGGATCATTCTTAAAATATAGATATGGGATATATTTAAAATCAAATGAAGCACATTTGAGAAATCAGATTCATCTTGTAATTTTTCTCTACATAGCACATTCCATCTAAAATGGAAGAAATGTTCAGTTCTCAGAGCTTTTTTATGCTAATTTGAGATTAATACCAAACCAAGATGATTCTTGCTAGTAATTGCAATATTTATTGAAGGCTTATTACATGTCAACTAGTATGTTTGGTTCTTTACATATATTAGCTCACTGAATCTTCCTAACAACACAATGATGTAAATATAATTTTTGCCATCATTTTACAGATGAGAACAATTAAATACAATAAGGTAACTTGTCCAGATTCATAGAACTAGTAAGAAGTGGAGCTGGGATTCCAAACTTGGCAATCAGACTTACGAGCCAGTGCTCTTAACTGCAAAACTATATCGGTTCTTACTATGACATATACTGCTTTAGTTATAAATATCTTAATATTCTACCATTTTATAGACTGTCTAAGAAATTATAGGGGACTTTTCTTAAATAAGACTGTGGGCCATGCAATGCAACAGAGTTGAATAGTATCTCTTGAAACAAGGCCACAGAAAAATATTTTAACAAATATCCTGTGAGAGGAAAGTCACTGATATAAATATTCAGTCAATTAAAAATACAGTAGCAATGTGACTATTTTTAATATCTTGTGGTTTTAGCCCAGTTACTGGAGAATGGCAGCAGGATAAACAGATGGCATCCTATCACATAAAATGGCAAGCTATGTGGTCATGGAAGAGTATACTCCTTAACACCAATGTCCTTTGGCTTCTGGCAGTAATCACAGGCACCTAGATCTGTGTAACATGATGTGTTTTAAAGATGCCGTGATAAAATTTAGGAACACCAGCTCACTGCTATCATTATTGTAAAATGCAATTTAATATGCACTTACAGACATTTGGTAACCAAGCACATTCAGGCTAGAGTTGTGAGTTGGCAACATGTTTCTTATAAATAAATGAGCTTGGTAATAAATGAACCATAAGCCCATTTAGGTGAAGAATGTTTTCTTGATTATATGATACCCCATACAATATCATATATCTTGGGTATTTAATGCCCGTTAGTAATCCTGTTCAACAGGGAAGAAACAGAGTCATAATCCAGAATGTAATACAAATTCATCTTTCCATCACCTACATGTTTCTAACCATAATCACCAAGAAATTTGAATGATTCCAAAACTGGAAATCTCTCTACCTGATTTTTGTAAATGCCACCAGGATGTGTTTACAAGTAGAAATACAACAAATAAATCAGAAAAAGTAGCTCTTTGAGCTTTTGCAATAAGAATGCAGAGGAAGATGTGAGTTCACCCACATGTCTTTGGTTCTGAGTGTTTTAGTACCAAGCTGGCTAATGCTAAATTCAGCAAATTTGGGGAAGTAATGTGTGAAGTCTGGAAGCTGCCACTGTTCTAAATGAATCATTCCTGAGGAAAGCTGCTGCCTTCTATAGGAAGCTGCTTCCATCTTCAACAATACATTTTTTTTTTTTTTTTTTCTGGACTGAATTAGTTCAACTGAAAAACAACAAGAAGCTCTGATGCCAAACAAATTAGAAAAATATTATGAATCAGATACAGAAGCTTTAAAATTTTGTGCTTATGTTATTATCATTACTAAAGCTGAATTAGTGGTTAATACAGGAGGAAATAGCTGATTTGAGCAACTAGTTTATAAAACACATGGTGTTAAGAAGTGAGGAGGGAGGTTGTTTTCATGAGTCAGTTATAAGATCAATAGATTTGGGATGTAAAAATAGCTTTCTGTGACATTACACTGAAACTTTGTATATATTGCCCAGTGAGGTAAAAATCAGAGACAATTTAGATAAATCAAGCCAGAAATTTCTTTTCATGTAGTAGCTAGAAAACTAAGGTGAATCTTTCCCATTTTTACATTTGGGTTTAAAAAACTATTATTTGAATCAGCATTGTCGTTGTTGTTATTATTAAATATAATAAATAAGACAGTTATCCAAGCCAGACTGCTATTTCGTAACTTATCACAAGGGGAACAAATTCAGTGTGATCCTCCTAAAAGAGACATACGGTGAGGAAATCCCTGGAAATTAAATGGAATATGTGACAATCACAAGCCACTGAAGAGATAAAGAGAGATTAAGAGCTTAGCGAATAGGAGATTATTCAGTGTGTAAAGGTGAAGAGTTCCTTTACAGCTGCTGATCTCAGTCATTTTATCAACAGGAGATGACCTTCGAAATTTTTTAGAGGTTTAGGAAATATTAATTGCAAATAGAAATTCTACTCTAATGATTATCTCTTTGTAAGACTTAACGTCATAGATAAAGCATAAATTATTCTTAATTTTAGAAAGTGGGAAATGCATCATTATATAATAACTATGGTTTTGGAATATATAGCTATAAGATTTTACTTTTAATTCATCATTTCCCATATCCCCAATCTCCGTTGTATAGAACTGGGACATAATACAATTAATTAAATACATTTTGGGACAGGAAAGAAGGCCTATGGTTTTGATCTTACATATCTATAGCAATTTCAGATGAATAATGTGTCTTGAACATCTCAATGCTTGTCTTGAAACCAATATTAGATTTTTATACTGGCTTAGAGATAGTTTTATATACAAATTATATATACCAACAGAACAGTGATAAGGAAATTTATTCCATAGGGAGCTAATGCAGATTACAGTTTCTGTCTTTGGTTAATTTTAGCATTCAAATTGGTGTAGAGTAGAAACTAACTCTTACTATAAATTGCCTATCTATAATTATACAATGCATATTCTAATTACTTTTATATTTTAAAAAACACATAGGATTCTAAGACTTGCCATAAGGAAACAGCAGAATTTTCCCAAATCTGCCCTGTACCAGAACTTAGAGAACCTCCATATTGCTTATCACATCAAATCTGTGTTTCCTTGCTGCGCCTTCAAAGCTCTCCAGCACATTCTTCCCTGGTCTTACCATCGTCGCTTCATATTTGCACCCAACTCTTTCCTGTTTGTTTTTGTTTCAGTTTTACAGTGCTGCTTGCAGGAAATGATTCTTTCTGCTTCTGTAATTTTATTCCTGCTACATCTCTGATTTGGAAAGCCTTTTTTTTTTCTATCACTCCTTTAAAAATCAGACTTAAGGCTGGGTGCAGTGGATCACCTGAGGTCAGGAGTTTGAGGCCAGCCTGGCCAACATGGTGAAACCCTGTCTCTACTAAAAAAAATATATGTATACACACACACACACATATATAAATTAACCAGGCATGGTGGTGGGCGCCTGTAATCCCATCTTCTCGGGAGGCTGAGGCAGGAGAACAGCTTGAACCCAGGAGGCGGAGGTTGCAGTGAGCTACGATCGTGCCATTGCACTCCAGTGTGGGCGACGAGAGCGAAACTCCATTAAAAAAAAAAAAAATCAGACTTCAACTCATTTCCAGAAAGTATTCTGCATTGAAGCACT